AGCTCGGCGTGATGGTTGGTGAGGGGAAACAAGATGCAAGGAACCCGCTGCCACCAAAAAGCTTCTCTTCAGCGCACCTTCCCACTAGGGATGTTATCGGCTCCACTGAAGGAATGCCGCTGCAACGTTCCCTCTCCCAGGACTCGGCAACTGGGGCCGAGATAAGACCCCCGCGGCCTCCCGTCCGGAGTTCACGCCTCCACGCCTCGTGTCTCGGCTGCTGCTTCAAGAACGAAGCTTTCCCCGCATTCTTTCAATGTAATCATTACTGCCGGATGCTACAGCTTGGTATCCAATCTTACCATATCAAATCGGAACTTCACTTTATCACAGGATCACGAGCTTTACGTCATCGCCATGGCCACACATCGTCTCGCAACCCGGTCTCATCAAGGCGGCGTTTCTGACGGCGATTGGGTTGATGTGAGCGACAGCCGCGAACAACACGCAGCGACTACCATCTCGGAGTCTATGCCGGAGCGTATTATACGTGTTACCACGGATGAAAAGAATCTCAACAAGTTCTACAATATCAAGTTCTCTGCAACGAGATCTCATCGGTTGGAACGATACTACAACGAAGAGCTCGACAGTCTGTTTAAAGCTCCGTTCGATACCTACAGCCAAGAGGATAAGGTAGACTTCTTACTCCTGCGCAACTATTTGAGGCGCAATCTCCGCGTCCTACTACTGGATCGTGAGCGAGACGAACTGGTGAAGCCGGTTCTTCCATTCATCCAGCCGCTCATCGAGATATGCGAAGCTCGTCAGAGCATGGTTCCCGTCGACAGCAAAAAGACGGCCATGATACTAAACGAGACAGCAAAGGAAATAATTGCAACAACAAAGGCCATCAAAACGAATGGTATCAAGGCCAATGACTCGACATTCTCACGTGCTATGAGCACAATTGATCAAATCAGAGGCCATGTGGATGAGACCTACGGCTTCTACGCCCCCTACGACCCCCTGTTTCCCTTCTGGTGCGACGCGCCCAAGAAGGAACTGGACGAGGCCCTCACTGGTATCAAGACGGCGATAGACACTAAACTTGTTCAGAAAAACGGGTCCGGGTCTATCCGTGCTGCAGTAGAACCCATCGGGCGCTCCGGGCTGATCACTGAGCTCGAAGCGGAAATGATACCCTACACGCCCGAGGAGCTCCTCAAGCTGGCGCAGGAACGGTACGATTGGTGCGAAAAGGAGATGAAGAAGGCTTCACGCAGCATCAAGGTGGGCTCCGTTCGACCGGAAAGGAGTCATGGGAGCGTGTCGGGGTATGTAAAGCCGACTGCCCTTTTGCTCCGGGATCAGGAACTGACTCTCACTTCTTTAGTCTCGAGGCTCCTGATGCTGGCTTCGGCGACGACTGGAAGGCAGCGCAGAAATATGTCAAGAATTCATATGTTGAGCCCGGTCAGCAGCCTGAGATGGTGCGGCAGCTGGCCTATGAGGGCATGGCTTTTGTGAAGAAGCATGACCTGGTTACGGTCCCAGAAATCGCGGGCAAGTCTCTCTATGTGCACCTCTCGGCGAGAATAACAAGCTGAATTACTCTAGGCGAGACGTGGCGTATGTTTATGATTGACGCAGAACGTCAAAAGGAGTCCCCATTCTTCCTCGGAGGCTCCTCCTTCTGGGTTTCTTATCCCACCGCCGCCATGGACCATGACCTCAAGATGATGGTGATGCGCGGAAACAACCCTCACTTTTCACGGGCGACGGCATTGTTAGTGTATTCCTTTGTATCTGTTCTAGAGACGTTCACTACTGACATGGCCACAGCCACGAATTAATACCCGGCCATCGTTTGCAGCTGTTCATGGGCAAGCGTCACCATCCGTACCGCGAGCTCTTTTCGACGCCCTTCTTCGTCGAGGGTTGGGCCATGTATTGGGAGTTCGTCTTCTGGAACAGGGGCGACTTCTTCGTGAGCCCCGAAGACAAGATTGGAACCCTCTTCTGGAGGATGCACCGATGCGCGAGAATCATCTTCTCCCTTAAGTACCACCTCGGCGAGATGACGCCCCAAGAGTGCGTCGATCTGCTGGTCGACTGGGTCGGTCACGAGCGATCCAACGCAGAGGGAGAAGTCACGAGATCGTTCGGCGGCGACTACTCCCCGTTGTACCAGGCCGGATACATGCTGGGGGCGTTGCAGATGCACGGTTTGCGGGAGGAGGTGCTGACAAAGGGATTAATGGGCGAGAAGGAACTCCATGATAAGATCCTGAGGGCGAACACGATGCCAATCGAATTGCTTCGAGCGCTTCTCCTGGACCAGCCCCTGAGTCCGGATACGGAAGCTCAGTGGAGATTCTACGACTGAGCGGGAGTCTCGCAGATGTCATCGCCCACATGGCAAAGAAGTGACGCGTGTCACTTAGTCCTGTACGTTACATTGCGCTCGGCCGAGAAAATACTAGCATTTTTCAGGGGAAGAATATCTCTTTTTGATCGTCTCCAACTTCCTTCCCCCCGCAACCCCGGACGGGTCCAGCTCATGCAGCCGCCGATGGACAATGCGGGGGAAGCCGGTGCGGGGCCGCCTCGGTCTTCGGGTTATATCGAGCGGCAGCGCGGGCTATTTGCCGTGGAACCATAACTATGCCAGCCTCCGCTCTACTTCACGCGTAACTCGCAGACACTAAAGCCTACACTTGGCGCCATGATCTCCACCCGACCAATGCCTGATCATGGATAACGGTACTGAGCCGAGCCACCAGGGCGAAGCCGCCGATGCGGGCCACGATGACTCGGGAGGGGCCTCGGAGGCTGCGGCGGCCCTCGCTTGCAACTGTTGTCGGCGCCGTAAGCTGCGGTGTTCCCGCGAGGTACCAACATGTCAGCAGTGCCGCAAGACAGGTGGGTCCCTTGTTTTAGTCCACAGATGATGAACGTTCCTTTCTCAGGAGTTGACTCGTGGTAGGAAGCGATTGTATCTATGAGTCGAAACGGTCTAAACCGGGGATGAAGGCTGGGGCCATTGAGAACCTACATCGGAGACTTGGTTCGTCTCGATATGCCGAGTAACCCTTGTTTAATCGTTACTGACCACAACGTCGAAGATGCGTTAGAAAGGACTGTTCACCAACAGCGGACTAAGAATTCATCAAAAGACCACAGACAATCCGAGTCAAATCACTCGTCCAATCAAGACGATGCCAATGGCATCAACAACAACCTTGAGAAGAATGCATACAATATTATGGCATTCTTCGCCAAAGAGCTACACAAGTTCAATTCTAAGAGTGGAAGCTCACTTGCTGAGGAGCGTACGGAGGCCGAGTCACCAGTACGAGCCAAGCGGCGTCGGCTTGATGATCATGAGCTTATCGACATTGCTTCCACGGGCGATTCCAGCCCAGATTTACCCACATTACCAGATGAAGAAGACCTTGAGATTGTACTCAAAGCTTATTTCGCATACGTCCACCCATGGATCCCAATCATACATGAGGCGAGATTCCGCCGTCGACTTCGCGAGCCAGGAGAAGCCAGACTTTTGCTGGCAGTATTACATGCCATGATTCTTTCTGCGTCAAGATACATCTCTGATGAAGATACTGCGACCAACTCGTTCGGCTCGCACCAGCAAAGAAGCATAACCCGTGATTGGATCGTGTCAACATCGATGAAAACTTTCAACGTGGAGAGCCACCAAGCTCTCATCATTGTTGCCTTCAACGATGTAGGTGTTTAAATATCCGTATTCTATCGTATGGCACGCGCTAACATGACTAGATCGGAAGTGGCGAGGCTGGAAAATCCTGGTCTCTCGTTGGTTCACTGACCCGGACCGTCGAGTATCTCCAACTTACCGTCGAACACGACGACGTCGATCGGCCATCACTATCCCAACCTTTCGTCTCACTCGCCCCGCCTGAAAGCTGGACAGAAGCCGAAGAGAGGCGCCGGGTCTTCTGGAACGTCTTCAAGCTCGATAGACTCATCTCAGTCACCATGGGCTGGAATACAAGTCTAACCTCAGACGACGTGCACTGCCGCCTCCCTTGCGACGGCGTCCTCTGGCGCAAAGAAGACGAAGTCGTGACACCCTACTTCGGGATATGGGACAAAGCCGCCGGTAGAATAGGCAATCCCATCGCCTTCATCCCGTCCCACTACGCGCCGACATTGCTGGCAGGTGCCTCAGAGGAAGAAATCCACACGCCCTCTGACGCCGGCACGTCACCGGGGGCACCGGCCGCCAACGTTGACATGTCCACCGTCGGCGCCTTCGCCTACTGCATCGAGGCGACCGAGTCCCTCAGCAGGGTCACCAGCTACTTCCTTCAACAAAAGATCAACATGCGGGACCAGCGCGACATCGGCAGCTGGCTCACCCGCTTCAAGGAGCTCGACCTACGCCTGGTCCACTGGAAGATGCTCCTGCCCCAGAAATGGAAGGCCAATATGGCGCGGCAGTCGACGCGGATGGACCCTAACCTGACGCTGGCGCACGTCACGCACAACGCGTCAATGATTCTGCTCCATCAGCTCATCGCCTTCCCGCCGAGAGAGTGGCCTTTCAGGGCCCGGCTGCCGAGTATCCTGAGCGCGGACACGTGCCAGGCTGCCGCCGTAGAGATTGCCATTATTGCGGAGAATTACTTGAAGCACGCGCCTGCTGCGATGCCTGTTTCAAGCCAGTTCGTGTTTTGTATCTACGTGGCCGCCAGAGTGCTCCTACTTCGATGGCGGTATGATCTCGGGACCGAATTGGCTTCCGAGTTCTGGTCTCTGGTTCAGATTATCAACCATATGGCGACGCGTTGGGCTGGCCCACACAGCTTGGAGCCTGCGAGAGACAATTTGGCCGGGAAGTATTCGAGGAAGCTCACAGAGATGCATTCACGTTGCCGCGATGATGCGTCTTTCATTATCAACGTCCTAGGCTACACCACAGAGATCGATCACACAGCTGCTCAGGAGCCTCCGTTGTCTCCACACCTCAGACGGAATGGGACCGGAGGGTATGAGGGAACCGTTACCAATGGACGAAATAGACGGTTCGCAGATACACAGGTCGAGCCCCCTGCAGGTAGTCTCGACACCATCGTCGTGGCTCAACCACTCCCATCCAACAATCCGGCATCATTCACCAATCCAACGCAGAATGAAATGCTCGTAATCCCAAGTCTAGGCATCAATGGCGCTGAGCCAATGGCCCAGCCCTCCATGTACCACAGAAGCAGCGTCGGTAGTGGCGATTTGAGCAACATTTCGCAGATGCTCCTCGACCAACAATTCATGGACATGGATAGGATCATCAGCTACGATGACGGCATTTTTGAAACTGAATACGATGGTGGAGGATGGTAAAAAGCAAGCGTCTCTATTGATTTAAAGTAAGCCAGGTCTATAATCGGAAAACAGCACTAATACTCTACACCAATCCCATATTCAAAAGCCTGTTCCCAAACTCAACAAGATAGTAATCCCCGTAAACGAGACCGTGATTCCAGTATCTTCGTCTGGCATTCTCGTTGTTATTGGCCGTTCCGTGCTTGATGATGCCGTCGAAACATCGATCAGCGATGGAGTCTTCGACTTCCAACCCCGCCTCGCTGCTAGCTCTGGTGAACTGAGCCTTTTCATCCGCAAGTGAGTAGTCGAGGGTGTCTCGGACGATCTCAACCGCCGCGTCGAAGAACCGCCGCGCCAAAATATTTTCTTCGATGCCTCTGAGTGCTTGTGTCAGCACCAACATGCCGTTAGCAGCAATCAAACCGGCCGATGAATCTCGCAGAGGCTCCGCCGCATTCTGTATCGGGGCATCAAAGTCCCAAAGAGGAACCCTTCGGCCTTTGGTCTTCTTTCGCAGCCCATCTCGAGAGCAACAATATGTTGTGTCCCCATCGACCACCGGCATATCAACACACGAAGGCGCCGTGTCGAGCCGGTACAGAAAGTACTCCGCAGCACCCAAGGCAGCCTCAAGGAAAGCTCTGTCTCGAGTCCACTGGTAGGTCTGAGCATACCCCAGGATAGCCCACGCCTGGCCACGAGCCCACGTGGAATCGTTCGCGTATCCCTGGGCCGTCCAACGCCACTTGAGATCACCGGTGGCCGGATCGATGTTGGCAACGTGGCACGTCGAATAAAGCTGACCTCTGTATCCATCCTTCGCCAGCGTGCTCACAGATTCTGGCCGGAGGTGCGTGTGTAACAGTGTACGGGCGTGCGTGGTGGCGATATCGGCGTGGGTACTGTCGCCGGTATGTGCTGCGGCGTAGAATAGCAGGTCCAAATTACATAGGCTGTCAACTATAGCGAGGAGATTCGTCGTCATGTCCGTCACAGTGATGTCTTTCTTCAAGAGGCAGTCCCAACTGCGGATAGCGCCAGCGGCGGGAACATAGCGAGTCGCAAGAGAATGCGCGGCCCTGACGATGGAAGCGAGACTTTTCTCGTTACCATTCAGCTCCCAGTCCCTCTGCAGCGCTGGCATAATGATGAAGCCAATGTCGTGCGTGTCTGTCCGGCCGGCCATGTCGTGCAAGGGATCAGCCCAGATCTTGCACAGTCCCCGCAGATGCTGGCGGAGGCTGGCGACACTGAGGCCAGACCCTACATCAGTGAGTCGCATCATTTGCGGGTGCTTAACAGTTCGCTCCAATAGGGCATACAACGTTCCTGGGAAGAACCCGCAGGTCCAGAAGTCTGGATCTCGGAACTCGTACTGGCCCGCATTGGGGCCGTCCTGGGGTATAATCTCTGGAAAGGCGATCGGAGTCTTCCGGATCTCGCCAGAAATTGGGGATATCTGCTCTTGAAGCGACGTTGTCGCGGTGCGACAGACTTTGGCCGTGACATTCTCTTCGAAAAGTTCGGTAAGATGGGTAGAGAGCGGCATTGATGGCTGGAAGGTTGGCCATTCGTTGGCTTCTATCGCGGCGTCAGACCATGAGGTTTCACTGATTCTGTCTACAAACAGCTCTTCTGGTGGCAGAGTTGATATCGAAAGAGGCGGTTCGGAAGACATGCTGTCGTGACGCGGAACCGTAGACAGCTTGTCCACAACGGCGTCCTGAGAGTGGGCGTGCTTTGTCATGACCGGCAAGCTTTCCATAACAGAAGCGGCCATACTGAATACTTCTTTGCTTCGAACTCCAAACTTGGGATTCCAAATGATGTTTTGCTCCGACTATAGACCTGACAGATACCAAAGTTGTCATTTTGTACATCTTTCAGAAACCCGAGCCATCACATGATTGATAATCACCAAGATCTTGATGCAAACCATTAACATCAACGGCCCGTCGGAAGCGAAGGCATCTATTCCAATGAACCGGTTCCGCGGCTGATGTCTCGGTGAAAGATCCTCGCGATGCACGATATGTTGGGTTGCCCATTTGCGATGCAAGAGTCGGGGTATTGATGCCCCTTATCCCCGAGGACAATCCTCCGAGCAGGTGTCGCTGGTCAAAGACGACTGTCGACCGCAAGCAAGTTCCCCACACCCCGCTCTCAGAGTCGGGCATGAGTAGACTGGGGTAGGGATTGCGGGGAGGACATCAAAGACAACATTGCTTGGCCTTTGCTACCGTCGGCGGACTACTCCAGCCTGTCAACATAGATGCCATGTCTCTGAGACTGATGGCTTATTTCGAAGTAATATAAAGTATGGGGTTACATCACCAAGAACCTCACTCAGGCAGTTGAGACCTTCAGAGCGACTGGACTTCTTGACTTACCACTCCAGACTAAGCGACGATCTGCGACCTTAACTGCCTCTCAATCTCTAGGAGACCTAGAGACACGTTGAACGCGGTCTCATCATGGCAGACCGAGTCAGTCTCGACAGGACTGCTGGAAATGCCGATCCAGTTGCCACGACGAAACCTCTCGACGACCAAGAGTTGGTTGTGAGCTCTTCAACACCCAAGCCACAGACAAGGTCGTTGTGGGTCGCTTGGCTCTACATCTTCGACTGGTACCCCAGCCACTACTCTAAGGAAGAGAAGAAGTTGCTTCGGAAGCTTGGTACAGTTCCACTCATCCATATGTTTGAGTAGAAGCTAACGACGGTCCTGATCAGACAGCATTCTTCTCTCACTCTGCTGTTTGATGTGTATGACTCTACAGATAACCTGTCCGTTCGTATAAACACTAACATGATATCAGTCTTTTTGAAATGGCTTGACTCAGCCAACATCAACCACGCTTATGTCTCCGGCATGGAAGAGGACTTGAAGCTCACGGGAAACCAGTAAGTGAAGCCCCCATTCAGACACTATGAATCTGCTCGTGCCTAACATACGCTGCCAGATACTCCCTCTTCGGAACATTCTACAACATCGGCTACCTCATCTTCGAGATCCCCTCCATGATGATCATCTCCCGCCCACACCTCACCCGCTGGTACCTCCCCACAATGGAATGCCTCTGGTCCATCACGACCTTCGTCCAATGCAAGCTCCGCAACGAATACGACATTTACGGCATCCGCTTCCTCCTTGGCGTCCTCGAGACACCCGCTGCCACGGGCGCAATCTACCTCCTAACCTCGTGGTACCGCAGCGACGAGCTCTTCAAGCGCGCGGGCGTGTGGTACGTCTCGTCCAACGTTGGCGCCATGTTTGGTGGGTACCTCCAGGCCGCGGCGTACAACAACCTCAACGGCGTCGCCGGCATGGCCGGCTGGCGATGGCTGTTTATCATTGACGGCATCATCAGCTTGCCCATCTCTATTGCCGGGTTCTTTCTGTTCCCTGGCTTGCCGACGAGTCCCAAGGTCTGGTGGCTCACGGATGCGGAGCAGAAGCTTGCGCAGGCCCGGATGAGAGATGACGGGGTCAAGGAGAGCAAGAGGATTGGGAAGAGGATGCTGAAGCGCGTCTTCACGCATTGGCACTTTTACCTCGCCGTCTTCACCTATGTTTTGTAAGTTTGCAGGCAACAATCTTGTCCAGACTCTGCACGAAAGCTGACGCCATCCATCCCTTCAGCTTCCAATGCACATCCTATGTCGCTGGTCAAATGGCGCTTTGGCTCAAGCATGAGGCCACCCTGCACGGCACCTACACTGTTGCTGAGATCAACGTCATCCCCACTGGCGTCCAAGCAATTTCCATCGTGGCCGGTGTCGTTGCCACTTCGCTGTGTATGATCTATCCCATTTGGGCCGTCATGTGCGTCGTGGCAGGTATTCTCTTCTTCGCCAACGTCTGTCTGCTGATCTGGGACATCCCGACGGGGCTGCACTGTACGTATTATATGGATTCAACGTGAGGACTTCTTTGCTCATCAAAGCGCAGTTGCCGCCTACTACATGCTTGGCCTCACAAGTTGCGTAAGTCTTTGCTCACATGTAAGACAGCACGATCGTGGCAGCTTACTCTTGCAAAGTTCACCCCAATCTTCTTCCCTTGGATAAACATGATTATGAAAGACGACAACGAAGCCAGAGCCTTCACTACTGGTGCCATGGTAAGACAGCAGACCACATTATTTTCTTTCCCATCATCGTCAGAACTCCCTGCTAAAACTGTCTCTGTTCAGATGACTTGCGGTTGGATCTTCTTCAGCTTCTACCCAATCACCGTTTTCCCAAAGCTAGAGGGTAAGTAACCAAACACCATCACCATAGCCAACTAATTGGAAAGACTCATGCTGATACCTCACCTCCCTTAATCTAGCTCCCAAGTGGCGGAAAGGGTTCACTGTCAATACCACTTTCGTGGCCATCTGGTGGACTCTCTTCATGCTTGGTCAATACCTGTGGCGTCGCGATATTAAGAAGGGAAAGTATAAGACGACCGAGACGGACTCTAGCAGCGTTCGGGGCATCAAAGGAGACGACATGATGCATGTCGAGGTCTCTAGCGAGAAGGACACCAAGGTGTAGATTTTTCCCCGACTGAGAGGGTGTTAGATTGGTGTGCTTCGGTGCAGTCTCGGAGGAAGAGTGAATGACTGATGAGTTGACCGGCTGAAAAGGCTGCGAGGTGTATCAGTATTCCGCGCGCTTGTGACGGAGGTGGTTGGTCCCATGATCCGGAGCTGCATGAGGACGCGGCGAAAGTGCCCATCTTCTAAGGGGTTTCAGATCTTTCCCCGCCTAACATACCGAAGTAGAATTCAACCCATCTTGGCCACTAAATTCTGATTCTTCAGTCCTTCTTTGGTACAAAATTTAGCCTTTCCATGTCGTCAAATGAATGACTTACACGGAGTGGAGGCCCGTCGACAAAGCCGCTGCGACGGGGTCCGTCCGTTCAGTACGTGGAGCCTGTGGGCTCAAGTCGCGGGATTCGCCCGTTAGTGTCCTCCCACCGGGCACAACACAACTCAGTCTGGAATCCATTCAACAGCAGGACCATTGACTGAATTATTAGATATCCAACCGTTTCAGTAACAAGGCTTCTACTCCCTAATTTCAAAGACGATATCGGGTTTTTCAGCAAAAGAAGAAATTAAAGACTTAGCCTACTTCGTTCTCTCGCAACACCTCCACAATGACGATAGTCCACATAGGTAACCCCCCAATACTCACTTCCCACGCCTCGCACTATCGAAACAAATTCTAATCTTAACCCTTCAAAGTGTTATTCAAGTTCCGCACCGACGTCTCGGAAGACCACAAATCCACCTTCGTCCGCGAACTCAAAACCCTCAAATCCCTTCCCTGCGTCAAAGATCAACGCCTCATTGTCGGCGGGCCGTCCATCACGGATCCCATCGAGAGGAGCAAGGGCTACCATTTTGCGCTATTGAGTTTCCATCAGGATCGGGGAGCGCTGGAGGCGTATCAAGCTAGTCCGGAGCATCACAGGTAAGCAAGCAGCTCACTCACTCACCTCGCGTTTCGTTCAATATTTTCAAAAAAAAACGCCATGAATGGTGGGAAGTCGAAATATGAAAGCTGAGTAAGATTTCAGGGTAACGAGTACATACCTGTGGCCGTTTAAGGAGGATGTGACGAGATTTGACTTTGAGGTTGATCAGGACGACGAATATATGTGCGAGTTTATGGCCAAGGGCTTGGCGAATGGGTCGGCGTAGCACGGATGGTGTCTAGGTACAGGCCCGATGTTATGATAAGAATATAGACTTGATAGAAATCCAATCTCAAGCATGACACTCTCATCAATATTATTGGCAAGGCTTCTATTATTGTTCCTACAGACATTTGAAGTAAAATGTTTACCGTGGTCGAGGTTGACGAGCAGAACCATTCCTGACTTCAGTCTCGGAACTCGTCCTTACAGTTGCAAAACCTGACTTCTCGACCCTACGTGACAGGCCTTGAGTTACAGTACTTATACATAATATGATGAATTGCAACTCTAAGTACGTCCCGTAGAAGAAGTAATCCCCCCATCAACAACAATCTTCTGCCCCGTAATATACCTCGCCTCATCAGACGCCAAAAACGCCGCTGCATTCGCAACATCCCACGCATCCCCCATCCTTCCCATCGGCACCTGCTCATCCCTCATCCTCTTAAACGCTTCATACCCGCCACCGCCGCCGCCGTCCTTGGGCGTAAACCTCTCCGCCAACTGCCTTGTATAGGGCGTCTCCATCAACCCAGGCACAACCGTATTCAACCGCACCCCTCGCTTCGCATACACCACAGCCGTCGCCTTGACAAACTGCATCACAGCCGCCTTGGTCGTGTTATATGCAACTTGCGGCTTACCAATATACCGCAAGCCCGCAATACTCGACACACAAACAATACTCCCCCCTCTCTCCTGCGCCTCCATCACAGGAAGAACATGGTGGCACGCGAGGTACACGCTCTTGAGATTCAACTCCACCTGCGCATCCCACGTCTCCTCGCCCATGCTCGCCGCACAACCCGGTTGCGACCCGCCGACATTAGCGAGCAGGATATCGATGCGGCCGTGCTTCGCGATGCACGCGTCCACCAGGGCCTTGACGGACTCGGATGACGTGGCGTCTGTCGCGACGACGTCGCATACGCCGCCGGCTTGCTCGATGGTGGTTTTGGTTTTGGTGGTGGACTCGACGGTGCGGTTGCCGCCGAAGATTGCGGCGCCTTGCGCGGCGAAGGTCACGGCGCAGGCGGCGCCGATGCCCCAGCCGTCTGTGCCTGATTGGCCGAGGCCGATGACCAGGGCGACTTTTCCTTGGAGGTTGAGCATGGCGATGGATGGGTTTTTGGGGCGGAAAAGGGGGTGGTGAAGCGGAAAAGCGGGCGGTAATGTTCAAGCTGCGGCGAGATGCCTTCGGCGAATATGCTGAGATACCGAACAAAAAGTCATCTTGAAGCTGGATATAAGTAACAATGATGCATGTACCTACATGTTCTATGCATCAGGCAAATCTCGAGGTTCGATGAGGACAAGTCCGTCGACGGTCCTGTTGTCCGCAAGCACTTAGACGGAGAAATCCCGACGGCGCCGAAGACGATGGGGCCGCTTTGCTCCCGTCGTCTTATTACCGAATTGGACCGGGCGATTACGACATGCGGAGTCCCCGCATCTACAACGCGACTCCGGATAAGTCTGATTCGGGCCAACCATAAGATGAGGAATTGTAATTCCCGTCGTCGCATTACATCGTTCTTTCGAGGTGTCTCTTTACACTTGAAGCGATCAAAATCACAGCAAAAATGGGCGAACAAACAGCAAACCCAAAGAAAGAAGAGGGAAAGGCCCCAGTGACGGGAGACTATGACCTCTCGACACCAATCGACCCCAACGCCGCGGGGTTGAGGCAGGGCCTGACGTCCTATGGTGATGCTCACTTCTCGCTGTTCCTGCGCAAGGTCTTCATCAAGGCTCTCGGGTACAGTGAAGACGCGCTCTCGAGGCCCATTATTGGCATTGTCAACACCTACTCAAGCTTCAACCCGTGCCATGCAAACGTCCCCCAGCTGATCGAGGCCGTGAAACGCGGCGTCCAGCTCAATGGCGGGCTGGCGATTGATTTCCCGACTATCAGTATTCATGAGAGCTTTGCGTCGCCGACGAGCATGTATCTGCGGAATCTCATGAGCATGGATACGGAGGAGATGATCAAGGCGCAGCCGTGTGATGCAGTGGTCCTCATCGGAGGTACGTGAGCTGTATCAAACTAGGTTGGAAGATGAGATGAGTACTGACTGATTTGGACAGGCTGTGATAAGACAACTCCTGCGCAGTTGATGGGTGGCATATCGGCGAACAAGCCCATCCTACACCTGGTCACTGGCCCCATGATGCCGGGAAGCCATAAAGGTGTGAGAATCGGTGCTTGCACAGACTGCCGCAACAACTGGGCTGCCTACAGAGCTGGCAAAATTGATATTGAAGATATTTCGGCTATTAACGACGAGCTGGCACCTACGGTAAGTGTATTCCGTCACTCGAATGAAAGTCTCATCTGCTGACCGCCGTGACAGGGAGGTACTTGTGGCGTCATGGGCACCGCATCGACGATGGCTTGTATCCTTGTCGGTCTCGGAATGATGCCGTTCAAAGGCGCCACTGCGCCAGCAGTCTCGTCAACGAGACTACGCATCGCCGAGCAGACTGGAGGTCTAGCTGTAGCCCTCCATCAAAAGAACCTCAAGCCACAAGACCTGCTGACCCGCGAGTCTTTCCTCAACGCAATCACCGTCTTGCAGGCCATTGGTGGGTCAACCAACGCAGTTGTACACATGATGGCTATTATAGGCCGTCACCCTGCTGTAGCCGGCACAATCACGCTGGACACCTTTGATGAAATTGGAAGAAAGACACCGTTGTTGGTTGACCTGAAGCCCAGCGGACAGAACTACATGGACGACTTTCACAATTCCGGCGGCATGCTGGCGCTTTTGCACCAACTCAAGCCCCTGTTGCATCTGAACGCCATGACGGTGACAGGCAAAACACTGGGAGAAGAGTTGGAGAGTACGCCATTCACCCCTATTCCCCGGGATAGCTTGGTCAATTGTCTTCAGCCTTTCAACGATCCTCTGTACCCAGCTTCGGCCTTGGCTGTGCTCCGTGGCAATATTGCCCCAGGCGGAGCTGTAACGAAGCAGAGTGCGTCGAAATATCGCCGACTACTGAAGCATTCCGGCCCCGCAGTCGTATTCGCTGGCTCCGCAGACATGGCCCTTCGTATCGATGACCCCGATCTCGAGGTGACGCCCGATAGCGTGCTCTTACTCCAAAATATCGGGCCTGTCGGCAACCCAGGTATGCCAGAAGCGGGACTTATCCCGATCCCCCGAAAGCTCGCAGCCCAGGGAGTCGAGGACATGCTTCGCCTATCTGACGGCCGTATGAGCGGTACGGCGGGCGGGACTATCGTTCTGCACATTTCTCCCGAAGCGGCGGACCCCGAATCGGTTCTTGGTATCGTCAGAACTGGCGACATCATAACCTGCGATGTGGAACAACGTCTCATCAAAGTCGAGATATCCGACGAGGAGATTGAGAAGAGAATTGCCGAGAAGAAAAAAGCCTTGGCCAAGGAAGAGGAAGACGGCGGCAGCAATGCGCCTTGGGTGGCAAAAAAGAGAATTCGCGGTTATCGAGGACTATATCTGCGTTCCGTCATGCAGGCAGAAGGGGGAGCCGATTTTGACTTCTTAACAGCGAATGGTCCACCCCAATAGTCTTCGACAGTTAAGATCCAATTGACTCTTGTACAATACATGCTCATAAACAGGACTGGATCTCAGGTGAAGCTCGGGTAAGTTGGTATAAAGTCATCAAACAGGCCTCGCATGATGCTGTCCAGATTCGCGTTGTCGCCGGTGTGCATTGGGTCGCCAAACGCAGTGTTGGCGAGAAATGATTCGAATGGATCTTGGTGAAGGAAGCTTTCCGAGCCATTTTCGGTCGCAGAGCTCAATGGCAGTGGTTGGGTAAAGCCTTCTGAGAAGTTTAGTCTGTGGGGTTCCGCCCCAACAAGGCTGGCACCCTCGTTGTACGAGCTCATTGTATGCGAATGCGCAGGATCTAGTCGCAGAGATCGACGTTGAGCAGGGGGTTCCACATCGAAGGCTTGATTGGAAATGTCCTTGACCCATCGGATGGTTGCCCGGATCATGTCATCCAAGATATCGCGGCAACGTTTTGCTCCAGACCAGTGCTCGCCCGTTGCGGCCAAGACTCCTAACCCGGCGCTGAAGTCAGACATGAGGGCATCCAGAGCCGTCTGCTTTGCTATCTCGGGCACCATCTTCAGACAGTAAAGCATAGTGATGATGCTGAGGACTGCTGAGTGACAGGTATTCCATGTATGTATGAGCAAGTTCTTCTTGTACAGGTGATCAAAGAGACGGATAACCTCAAGAGCGGCTCTAAAGCACTTCTTGAGGATCTCGGGTGATGGATTCGGGATGGCGGGGCTAGGCCGGAGAACCAGCATCCGCAGGCCGTAGCATCGGATCTGACAGATGGTGCGGATGTAGTCGGAGTCGGGTGTGTTGGGGATCTGGCTGTACCACTCGTCCAGCTGTTCCAACATTCCTTGCTGCCACTCATTTATGTCAATGACCGCCGGGTAGGCGTAACGTGGTGTGTCGCGAACAATGCTGTTCGCCACGTATTTGAACTCTGAGTTAAGTTTTGCTAGACGGAACAGATGTATCGAGAAGGCCATGTGACCCGGGGGTTGATTGAGAGATGGCTGCAGTGACCCTTGCAAAGAGACATCTTCTAGATGCTGTGGAAGCTAAGAGAAAGTTAGGGTAGGTTGAACGACGGAGCATATGCTGAGGTGGACATACCCGAAGATCACATGCCTCATCTCGCAGTCCAATGGGGCGTCCCATCATGGTTGCGATCATTCTATCCAGTGTGAAAACCACCCAAAATATTCTAGTCCTCATTTCCTGTTCAAGAAGGGAAATACCTGCGTTGGTGTTGATATCGCGCTGTAAACCCAAGTCGAGGACAGCAGCGATGCACTGGTAGTTTAAATACCAAACGTTGAGACGCATGTTTGAACTGTGCATCGTGAATACTGTGAGCAAAAGAAGGCATTGCAGTCCCGGAATTGAGCTGTCGATGCTGATTCGATCAAAGCTCTGCATCGCAGATAGGCAATATGACTCTCCGGGAAGACGTGCCCTCACCCGGCGAGAGAGCACTGTGGACCCCAGAGCAAGGACCATAAAAACTTGGAAGGTCGCTGTCGGGGTAGATTCCACGTCGATCCTGTTCTCGTACATTTGATCCATCAAAGCCATGAAGCTAGGCTGATGCAGAACGGGGAACTGGCAGTTGATAACGTCAAAGTAGTTATCTGCTAGCTGCTTCGCATGATGTCTGCTTGGCAGTGACATTGGGCCATGCATCGCCTCAACGAGAGCAGTTGGTATGGACGGGTTTGATACTCCGGTTCTGATTGGCCAAGATTGGTCATCCTGTCGGTTCGAAGTCAACATCAGTCGGGCAAGGAAGTATCCGCTCGACGGCCCGATATACTTCGGGTCTTGGCTACTACCCAATGACACCATCCCGATTTCGTGTGACAGCGTACTGCTGGCAATAGGGTCAACCAAGCGAGGTCCTGAGCGGATGGCCTGGATGGCTTGTACTGGCTCTGAATGTTGAAGCGGCTGTGCTTGTGGAGGATGACTCCCTGTGAGGTTCAGACTATCCTCGGGCGATGCACTGCTGACTCTGATCGTCGAGTCTCTTGCAAAGGTTTCATCACCATCAAGTTCCATGTCAAAGTCTCCAGACGGACCTTGACTGAGGTCGACGTCGGGACATCTTTCCCTTACAATGCTCTCAAGCCACTTAACTCTCTCGATCAAGTTCGAAATTTGGCTAGCTGAATGTCAGAAACATGTGCCAAGGTGGGAACTTTGAGAACAGCCATACGCTCTGGGAAGATCCCGAAGACGGACACTTTCGCCGTCGGTGCAAGCAACTCCGGCCTTCTTGCAATTGTTGCACGCAGGCAATTGCCCGTCGCACTATCAGACACCCACTTAGTACCATGCCATCTTCAATTGAGGTTCGGAGGTCCACTTACACGGATCTTCCGCCGCTGGCACCGAGAACAAGCGAGCCTCAATCGCGCGGTTCTGCGGGCCTGACGGGGTGTTGGCCGGGAGCTGGTATCTTCGGGCATATTGCGTTTTTCAGGGCAGCCAGTGCTTGGCTGGTTTCCGTCATAACGATAGGAGAGCGATGAAATGTTTGGGTAGGTTGAAGGGAACGAGGCGGGGATTCTCCGAGGTGGAACAGAGGTGAAGTTGGTTGGCGGTGGTGGCCCCAGGCCGTGCGGGGGAAACCCGTGGCGTCAGATCCTTTGTTAGTTTATTGTGCCGGGGTTTGCCCGCATCATCGGCTGAACTCCGTCCGAATGCGTGTGCTTTACTACTACTCTCTTCCTCGCGACGCCATTCACTTGCCTTGGTATATCAAGAGAGGCCATGCTAGGTTCGAAAATCGTGCCTCGTATCCAATCAACCCTGTAGCCATTCATACGACAGATGTTGCCGTGCAATACTCCACATCATCTACTAACCTTGCACGTCACGTCTTCCGCAATTCTGCGCCTCAAATTCCGCACGGCCATTCAGCGAGATGGCCGACGAGTCCCAAAAGATACCAGTGGCCGCTTCGGAGGCCCGCCGTCTGGTTGAAGACATCCTCAAAGGCAATGGCGTTCCCGAAGAAAACTCAAAGATTGTCGCCCGGTGCCTCGTCGCTGCCGACCTTCGCGGTGTCGACACCCACGGCATGAACCGCATTCCTTCCTACATGGAGCGCGTCCGCCAGGGTGTGCTCAATGCCACAGCTCAGCCCGAGCTGAAGCAAGTCACGCCCGTTGTGGCGCACGTCGACGGCAAAAACGGCTTCGGCTTCGTCGCGGCAGAGATGGGTATGGCAGCTGCCATCGAGTCTGCCAAGACTTTCGGCATCGGCATGGCAAGTGTGTCGCATTCCAATCACTTTGGCATGAGTGCGTGGGTGGTGCAGCAGGCTCTCGATGCGGACATGATGAGCCTGGTCTTCACCAACTCAAGTCCTGCGCTCCCGGCGTGGGGTGGACAGAGCAAGCTCATGGGTGTTTCCCCGATTGCTTGTGGTGCGCCGGGGAAGGACAAGCCTTTCATCCTGGACATGGCCCCGTCAGTTGCGGCCAGGGGCAAGATCTACAAGGCCAAGAGACGCGGCGAAAAGATTCCTCTAGACTGGGCGCTAGATGCTGAGGGACGTCCTACGGATGATCCCACTGCAGCATTAGGAGGTGTCATGCTGCCGATGGGTGGTCCCAAGGGTTCGGCATTGGCCATCATGATGGATGTGTTTTCTGGTGTCTTCTCAGGGTCTGCTTTCGCAGGTCACGTCACTAACCCGTACGACCCTTCAAAACCAGCGGATGTCGGTCACTTCCTAGTCGCCATCAAGCCAGACCTCTTCATGAGTCTCGACGACTTCCGCGACAGGATGGACTACCTGTATCAACGTGTTATTGGATCAGACAAGGCGGCAGGAGTAGATAGGATATACTTTCCGGGTGAGATTGAGCAGTTGCAACAGCTGGATCGGGAAAAGACGGGCATACCCTTGGTACAGGCCGAGATTGATGCTCTCAACGAGGAGGCAACAAGAGTTGGCGCCAAGCCTTTGGTAACCCAGGTAGCTGCATGAATATATGGCTTTACGCGACTCTTGGGAAAGCATGCCATATGTTCCATCGAATCGTTGGCCTCCATATAACGGGGTCTTGCAAGGTTTTTTGTTAGTTTTTCTTTTTGTCATGGCTTCCAATCGGAATGGAACTGGTTGGTGATTCATGGAAGTTTCTCTTTGACCTTAAGAGATATTGAGATGGCTAGTAATGGTAGTTTACCAGGCTGAAGTGCCGAGACCAGCAAGCTCCCTTATGTTCAAGTCGTCATCATCTACCACGTTTTCTGTTTAGTATCCTCTATTGAGGGGAGAAAAAGAGAGATGATCGTAGATACAACCCAGAACTGTAAATCGACAATCCTGGGAAGAGTATGGAAGAGTATTGTGGCAGCCACTAGTACGACCGCTGCCCGTCTGCCAAGGCCATTGACATCCTCTTCCATATTCCTACAAAAGTCGATCGCTGCAACGCATGTACATCAAGTGCCTGAGAATGCTTTGGTGAGCAAAGTGTAGCTCCTTCTCACTTTCTAAAAGATAAGTTGCCATTCTTACAGATTTGGCAGTAGAGTCAGCCCTGCTCCTTTCCTGGGAAACCGAATCTCCATCCACCCCTTCCCTTCTTCCCCAAAACTTATGCTTGAGGAAGTGACACTTGATTCGCAGCGGAAACTTCTTTCCAAAATATGACTGCCGTAAAATGGGCTCTTGATGTACTAGGGGTTTTTCGTCAGCCAGACCTCGATTCTCCCCACATCATCTCCCTCCCCCCAAGCAGCATCACCTCCGTCTACCATTCATCCCAACCTCAATACAATCAATACCCATCCATTCTATCGTTCTTTTTTTGGATTCCCCCATCATCAACAATATCCATCATGAAGTTCACAACTTTCGCTACGTCCCCGCTGCTGCTTGGCTCAGCTTCACTCGTCACCGCAGTCTCTCCTTCTGTACCCCAAGACCAGGCTAATCCCGGAGGCATCTCCAGCATCAACCTTCGAGGCACCAAAGTCGATGAGAGGAACGATGGTCGTCTTTGTTTCACCCTCGGTACTTTCGACTCCCATTTCGGTGAGTTCGCTGTATCTTTGGTGGATGAACCTGTCGACGGGCATCTAGCCAATGGCTTCTGCCACAACCATACTACGAAAGTCGTCCAAGACAGCAAAGGGAACAATTGTGTCTTCGAAGACAGAACCAGCAATCTACATTGCTCTGCCGAATCTCCTAAGACCAAGTTTCACCTGAACATTCGCCAACCACCAGCCATCGATTACTCCAAGGTACCAGTACGCCCTGAAATGACGCCGTGTACCTCTCTGTTGAGAGCCGTATGCTTGGAAAAGGTGAAAGCCCAGTGCGCCTGGTGCTCTCACCACACTACGGATCCTGAGTGTCACAAAGCCACCTTCTGTCCATGGCGCTTGAGTCCCAAATACGGCCTCTCTAGCTCGCCCTCGCCCTCTCCCACTCCGGTGTACGATAGAAGCCGGTGCACAGGAGGCAAGCCTTTCCTTCCTGCCTGGCACCAGTATTTGAGGTGGTGCCGAGACCATCCCGAGTCAGACAGATGCCCCTATCTGCCGTGGACTTTGAATCCAAAGACAATTCATTCGGACAACGCATTCGATAATGCCATTGGCTTCATCTGGTGTCATCTCCTTGGTCGGTGTCAACATTCCGATATTTCCGCAATAACGCCACCAAAGACCGTCCAAGTAATTCAAAACGCCCTAGAACACGTCTGCACGAGGTATCCCCCCACGTGTCCCTTCATCCCTCCTGTCATGGGGGTCGTCTTATCTTCCATGGAAGTCATCGCCGACGTCTCAAGGCTAGCCACAGCTTTCGTCACCGGCCATGGTCTAGAGGATTACAGTCGCCCAGCTTTGCCAAAATCTTCCGGAACCAGTCACGGCGAAAACGCCCGCATAGGGCATCCAGACAGCCAAGGCAATCTTACTGTTATCGACAATACCCTCTCTTCAGCTGCTCTGGAGTTCATCTGCGAGGAGCTCTGCAGCCCTTTGTGCGATCACATTCCCTCGGTCATGAGGATTGTTGATTCTATATTGAAGGGCAATGCAGACTTGCAGGAACTTACCAATGCGTTCCAGTATTACCTTGCCAGAATCACCCCAACTGATGTCCAGACCCTGACAGAAGGAGCTGAGGATATCTACGACATCTTCGTCGCCACGCCTTCAAAACTGGAGGATTTGATTGACGCTATCAAAATCGACTTGGGAACGCTCGGCGTTAACGGCACCTGGAGGCTGCTTCGAGCTGGCCTATCCATCTACTTCCGTCTCTCCCCGTCTGACGAGCACAACCTATTTCGAACACTTGGAGACATCATTACCCATTTTGATGCATCCAATGCTTCAAGCTAAACCATGGAGACTTAAGGTGAAGGATACCCAAAGGCTTGATGGGGTTTGACGATACGATTAATGGACAAAGTGGGCGATTGGTGTACGCACTACACAAAACACGATGCTGCGTCGGTTGCTGGAATCAACTGCGATCCAGAACACATTGATAATGAGTGACGGACTGGAGGACTACACGCGGATGGTGACTGGGGATGAGCAGTATAGCTAGCTACCTAAGTCAATTGATAAGAGCATCGCTTACGCCCAACATGAATGAATGCACCTCGAATGTAATTGTGACATGGTATAATCTCCGATCGTTAGCAAACATTGTATCGCTATGTTTTTGATGTCCCCAGGTCCACACATTGGATCGTAGACTAGTGATCGGGTGGCTGGGCCATTACTTGGTCGCCTTGCCTGTTCAATGAATCACTTGGTAAAAGTTCCGAAAATATGTGGTACTACTTGGAACCATGTCTCATCTTGGGGTTGACGAATGTCGATGTTTGTCCATGGCCCTGCAGACCTAAGGTTGTTGCCAGTGTTGCGGCACAGCTGGCAGCCGTTCAAAGCCCGCGGCCAAACCAGATTGACGATACCTAACATGATTAGCATCGATGTCGACCCCTTCAGTCGCGCCCCTCAGGGTTTACTTACGCTGATAGAGGCGGACGGGCCGGCTCTGCATCACCTCAACGTGTTCGTACAAATACCACCTGCCCCCTTTCTTGAGATAGGAGTAGAGCTCAGCAATGTTCTTCTCGGGCTCGGGGATGCTGCAGAGGCAGAGAATGGAGACGATGCAGTCGACGCTACCCTTTTCAATCTTGCCGTCCCAAGCCGTCGGGTCGGAGAGGGACTCTATGCCGGTGGGGACGATCTCGTAGGTGCCCTCGAGCCCGGCGGCCTGAACGTTCTTCTTGAGTGCGGGGTGCGCCTCGGTATTGGGCTCGATGCCGTAGACTCTCGTCACGCCCTCGGCGACGCGCCTCCTGACGCCGCCGCGCGCCATGCCGGCCGCTGCATCGGCCTTCTTCTTCTTCTCGTCACCGTTGCGGCCTTTGGCGAAGATGTCCACCCACATCCCCGACCCGGGCCCGATCTCCAGTACGACGCCGCTGACGGGCGGGTGGACGGGGTCCTCTACGACCTTGCCGTCCGTGACGCGGCCCTCGAGGAGGGCGACCATCATGTCTGACCTGCCCACGCGGATGTTGGGGCCTAGCCAGGCCCAGAAGGCGGAGAACCAGGCGTCTTGGACGCGGGACGGGGTCGTGAGGGCGGCGTAGTCGCCTTCGCGGAAGAGGCGGAGGATGGTGGGGGGGAGGTAGGAGAAGGCGTTTAGGAGGAACATCCAGGGGCCTACGAGGGCCCAGAATATGGCCGTTGCTTCTGTGAGGGAAGACATGATTTTACCCCTCGATCCGAAGAGAGAGTGTGTGAGAGAGAATGAGGAGTGCCCTGTGGTATGTTAGAAATGGGAAGTGAGGGAGGGGCTCAGGGGGAGCTTACAGACTGAACACCAGGTCAGATACACAGTCAGAGGAACGAAATACCCGAGGAACCTGGAAAGTGGTGTGTCCCGGCGAGGGCTGGCCGGTTTATAAGTGGGAGCTTCGCGCAGGGAACGGCCGAAATGCCGGGGGACTGAGAAAAGAGGTATTACAGATAGTGAAGTGGGTATATGCATCTATCAAGTACAGTGACAAGCCGTCGATGCCATTATCGTACATAGCAACCCCACCAACCCCACCACGCTCCCCTCGGCGTCTAAATCTAGACAGCTGCCTTTGACAGCTATGTTTTCCTCTTCTCTGCCTCTCTTTTTTCTTTCGTGCTCTTCTTGTTTCATGTCTCATCTGTACATTCATTGCGTCTCCAAGTCTTTCTCATCTCGCGCTCACACGACTGCAATCGTGCCTTCAACAGCGCTTTATATCCTCCGAACGTTTCCAACAGTCTTCGCTCCTTCGGCTAGTCCTGTTGGTTCCTTATCTACGTCTCGCGCGAAATGCTGACATCGTACCTGACAGCCCTGGTCTTCCAACGTCATGCAAGCTAGGGGGTCCCGTTCACGACGATTGGCCACTTTGCGTCCATCCCGCTTCCCACGCTGTCAAGGAGTGCTTCGTCTGCTGGCGACTGCTCGAACTCGTCCGCGTTGACGAGGTGCCGTTCCCAATGGAGACAAGTCTCTCGGGCAGCTCCATCGGGCTTCGAAGATACCTGTCCATCTGAGGCGCTGGCGCCGTGTAATAGGCACCGGCTCTGCACACACACCAACCCACCGAACTGTCAGCATTCATAATCCTGCGACCACACTGATCAGAGCCAGAGAGGCAAAGAGGCAAAAACTTACCCGCCATTTGAGGTGGTGGTACCGGATGGTGCGGATCGTTGAGACATCGTGGGGGAAAAAAGGGGTAAGAGATTATTGGTTTTTGGTTTGATTGATTTCTTGCAGATTGCAATGCACGACTACAGCTGTACGAGGATGAATGTTCGCGATAGTGTCTGCGAGATGCCTCAGATCACAACACGGAGATAGCTTCCGTACATATAGGAATTCTGAGGACGCCATTTCCAGCGTCGACCTGCGCGGTTGACAAGCAGAAAGTCCTGCTCAATTGAGGAAATCGCAAAAGCACGAATGCGCTGTTTAGCCCACGGGTGGCCTCAGTGAGGCTTTCCAGATATTTCATCAATCTCAGTTGATAAATCGTGGGGAAGGGGAAAGAACACCTCGCGCATCACCTGCGCGACGCTGCGCAATCCTTCAGTTTCGCAGACTATCATCTTTGAGTCGTGTCCAAAGGTGGGAAGGGGTATTTTCGGTCACCATGATCGTCATCATTGGCTGCACCTGCATACGATTGCCTAGATTTTGGTGCGGATCGTCGACCCCCCCTGACATGGCGCAGCCTGCATACTCGAACAACAGCGCAAATGCGCCCTTTCGAAATGTCGCTGTGGCTTTAGTTCGAAGGCATTTCAGAGCCTGGTCTCCCCCCTCCTTTCTCCCTCTCTCATTCTTCTCGTTGTTCTGACGCCTTTTTTCTACATTTTCTGCTTCGCAATTGCGGATTTCCCATCGGTACTTGCAATTTTTGACATTTCCTTTCTGGGCAGCATGGGACACAAGACAATTGCAAGCAGCCGTATGACGTGGCTTGATGCAACACAAGTACACGATGGTGTTGCATCATCGAGGCCATCTGCCACTACGTCAGCAAGGGTCGATGAGGCCTCCAGGGACCTTGCATATCAATTCCTTCACATGAACCGTTCATCCCGCCGCGCATCCATCGTCAACCACAACACCAAAGTTTCCGAGATGCCCTCACCTTGTGCAGTCTCCTTTGAGCGTCCGCTTTCTTGGACCTTCGATACCCCGCTGCAATCTGGAGACCGTCGTCACTCATCCTTTGAGTCGGGAAACATGCCCAGCCTGACGTATCGTGTCAAACCACAACAACCACAGCCGCATAACCCGAGAAAACACCAAAGGGGAAGCCCGTCAGTTGACAGCTTGGAAGAGCGGCCGGGTTCGACAGAGGAGAGACACTGCAAGAGGATCTCGGGTGATTCCGGTTATGGGTCGGATACGCGGCGACGAAGTCGTGACCGGAGCGGAGACTCTTCTGAGTATCAGGACGTGAGGATCGGAGACGTCAAGATTCATGTGGAATCGGGGTCCGAAATCCTCATTCGCCGCTGTCCATCACCCCAGTCGGACAGTGACGAGACCTTGGGCGTCCCGCGGCGACGCAAGAGGCATCTGCGTAGACATAGCGCCACTGTCGCTACTACTTCGCCGAATGACCCAGCTGCTGCACCGCAAGAGGTTGGACTTGCGACGCAGAAGACGAAGACATGCGAGGCACTGTCGCAGCAGAGGGAAAGAGTGGCGATCCGCAGGGAAAGCCTGGACACAGGGAGGGAAAGATTGGAAAGTGATCTCTCCATTTCCATTAAAGGGCTGCGGCGAATGAAGGGAACTACAACTCTGCGCGACCCAGTTGGCAGTCAACAACCCCCAACATCGAAAATCAGGATTATGAGACGGCCCATGGGCATGAAAGTGCCCAGCATCCCTTCAAAAAACATTCCGCCTGTTCCCGAAGATAATGCTCCTCAACGACAATCTTCACTCATCGAACCACCATCCATCCAGAGAAGTTCCACGTTTGGAGATGACCTCAGTCGAAGGGCTAGGAATCGCTTATCTCTTCTCGAGGACGCAGATGGCCACCCCGTCTCCTTTCAAGACCCACGCCCCGCTAAGCCGAGCCTACATCTCGACACTTCAATTAAACCTCGCGCACAGCTTGAACGGCCCATTCAGCCCACCTCACTGAAAATGCCGCGACCTGTCTCCGGCCCGCCCAACCTCCCTCTCAATTGGCACGCAAACCTGACACCTAGGCCATCTTTCCTTGCCGTCGAAGAGCAGTCCGACTCTGCCAACGACAGTGGAGATGAATCATCCATCGAGTCGAGCGTCTTCTCAGTCCCAGACTCCCCCGTGGAGCCATGTCAATTGAACCGGGATGATCCGTTAGCGTCGCACATGGACGTCATTGTCGGCAACATCTTCCAACGCTACCAAGAATGGAACGTCCGCGAAAGGGGCGGACAGGGCCGACGAGCCTCGGGCCAGCGCGTCAATACCAACACGCCTGATTCGGGTCGTTCATCGAGAAAACGCTCGCACTCCGACGACCTTCCCGATCAAGACGCCTCAGATGGCGGGGACTCGAATGTGATGCCGGGGTTCAAGAAGCCAAAAGTCCCAGCAAGCACTTCGAAGTTGATGTTTGCGTGCCCCTTTTGGAAAAACGACCCCGATAACCACCGCCAGTGCTACAAAAAGGTCCTTAGCCAGATCAAGTACGTCAAAAGCCACCTCTATCGGTTCCACGCCGCGCCCATCACCTGTCCCTGCTGCGGCGCCGCCTTCCAAGACGAGGAGACACGGGACCAGCACGCGCGTGCACGGCGCTGTGAGGTAGTCAGCGAGGGGTACATTCCCAGCCACGAGGGCCTCTCCCAGGGTCGGATGCGACAGGTCTCGAAGCGCGCGAACCCGAGCCACAGTCCGGAGGAGCAGTGGTTCACCATCTGGGATATCGTGTTTCCTTCAAAGCCGCGGCCGTCGTCGCCGTACATCGATGGCGTGCTGTCGGAGGACCTCTGCAGCCTACGAGAATTCTATACCAGTATTGGGACAGACATGATGCTGGATTACCTAGCCTCCCGAGACCCCGACTTCGCAAACGACGAAAGGAGGGCCACCATGTACGACCGCGTCGCATTCAACCAACTACAGGAAAGGATCTACGAGGCATGGATGGCGCGTCGCGGTCTCCGACAGATCCACGATGCCAACATCTCCACGACGCCGCCGCGCACAGAGTCCGATGAAGCAAGCAGGGCCTCCCCAGCTAACGGCGTTTCCTCTTCCAGGCGCGAAGACGATGCGGGACAACAGCAAAGCGCGCAGACCCAGACGCTACAGCAGCAGCAGCAGCAAAACTCACAGGAGGAGGCGACGACTATGATACAACCCACGCCAGTGCCGCCGGATGTGGCCGTACAGTTTACAGGCCAGGATTTTGGAGAGGCTGATTTTAGTCGCGATGATATGTATTACGACACGCATACGCAGGCGTTGTTTGCTGATTTAAATGGCTTGTTGCCTGGTGCTGGGCGGGCGGAGTTTGACCAAGGTGGATTTGGACCGCCATATATAAGGTAAGGTATGCGGTTGAGTAGAACTGTCTCTGATGTTTTGTATTTCCGGCTGGCTCGGATTGTTCCATACTGTATCTTTATTACAAACTTAATCTACGAGAGTGCATATAGGGTAGCTTTCTTGATAATTAATACTCGATTGTCGCAATCATGGTTCCAAAACATAATGAGTTCCCCTCTGTTCTGTACCTATGTCTTCCAACTAAGAACTTGTGGCCGTCGAGTGTTATGACGGCAGATGTAGAAGACACAACAGATGCGCTATATGCAGGTTTCAAGAGTCAACCCTTACAATCTGTCGCGCGGAAAAAGGAGAGGCTCGAATATTGGCTGCTGTGCTTAATGGAGATGTTTGGAGTGCAGCTCGCATTTTCAGTCGAATGAATTCCACGAAAGATTTTAATCATCTCTCCGTAAAGTTCCGATATCTTTATGGGCACATAACCCATGCGGTTGATCATAACCACCGAATTTCTCATCTCCTAGATTCCACTAACAAAACCGTACTCCATGAACTCCAGCCCTAGCCTGAAGCCATAAGATGCCCATCCACGCCGAGTCTACCTCCAGTACCGGTACCCAGTCACCCCCACCCCATTTCTCGTTCTCTCTTTCACAGCAACACGACAGCCAAACAGAGCCAACCATCCGGATACGCCGCCTCGCGCATCAGATCCTCCAACGGTGCCGAAAACGGCACGGGCGAGCCGTGCAGCACGACGTTGGCGAGGACCGGGTCCCGGCTGGAGGGGAATAAGCTGGGCAGGTGGGACTGCAGCGCGCGGCCTAGGGTCTGGCGTGTGCGGGTGCCGGGGATGACGGGGGGGATGAGGGTTTGGAGGACTTTGAAGGCGCCCGGCCCTGGGGTGTCTCCTGCTGGTGCTGGTGCTGGTGATGTTGCTGGAGGTACCTGTTGTGAGGTTGGTGGTGGCGATGTGGTGTTGGTGTTTGTGACGGTGTTGCTACCGGTCCCGGGCGGGGGCGAGGACGGGATGTAGACGCGCAGGGGCACGTTCCGGAGGGGGGTCGGGGCGTTGAGGAGGAGGGCGTTTATTTTTGCAAAGGAGGCGTAGTCGTTGTCTTGGACTGCGTTCCAGAGGGATGAGGTGTCTGCTTTGGAGAGGGACATTATGCGTTTTGCGTTGCCGTAACGGACGAAATCTGCCTGTTTTAGGGGGGTAAGTGGGTTAGGATGTGAGTCAGGTCAGGGAAAGGTAACAAATGGGATTGGGGGGCAAAAGGTCTCGAGCGTTCTTTGTTCGAGGCGGGTGTGTGTTCCAGTCGGGGGTGGTGACGAAAGAGAATGTGGAAAGTAGAAAAGATGGAGGGGCAGGTGACGATGTGTTTCTCTTGTGGCGTTGTGTAAAAGCAAAAACCCAGCTTTGGGCGAAAGACACTTGTCTGGATAGCAGGGAATGGGGCATGTCGCTGAGAAGATGGGTAAAGTTTCTTCTCGATGCATGGGATGAGACAAGGGAGAGAGGGTGGGAAGACATGACGGGAAGAGGGGTTTTAGAAACAGAGACAATGACAGAGGTTGGAGAGAGACACTGAAAAGAGGTTGGAGAAAGAGACAAGACATGTCTTTTGCGTAACTCTACTCACCTCTTTGACGCAGTTGAGAAAGGTGTCGCCGATATCCCAGCTATCGCCGTCACTAACGGTCAAACGCCAGGGTAAAGTCGGCTGATAGAGGTCGACGAGGAGGCCGAGGGGCAGGTTGCGGAGGAGGAGGTCCTCGTGGTGGAAGGCGGAGACGGGGTGGCGGAAGAAGGCGGAGCAGCGGGGGACGAGGAGGGCTAGGTAGGAGAAGCGCGGGAGTGAGGTGACGAGCGGGGTGTTTGGGGCGGAGGGGTGGATTATGTGGAGGGGGATCTGGGCGGACCAGAGGGTTTGGGGGATGGAGGACATTGTTGTAGAAGGAGGAGGAGGTTCGTGATGATACGAAATGGATGGATGTAGAGGTGTAAGTGGGAGGTGGAAGGCTGAGTGGAGGGTTTGGATGATATGGTGGGATGAGAGGCGGGTGGGAGGCGGGTCAAGGAGTCATCGTAGGAGGTGGTGTTTGGTGCAGGATCGGGTCTTCTATACGACCGGTGAGAAGTTTCCAGATATGCGGTAATGCTTTCGTAGGCCGGACGAAGCACGACGGGAGCACGGCGCGGAGGCTCGAGGGACTGACGTTACAGATTGTCCGGCGTTGAACAAGTGACAGTCGGGACGGAAGCGGAGGTGGGGCACCTTTGCCCGTCAGGAAGGCACCAGAGCCCGGCCGAAACAAAGCTCCGCCATCCGATGATTACCTAAGCTACATGAGCCACCTAAGATACTACGTACATATCGAACAACACCGACCGCATTGCCTCATTTAGTTACCCGGGCCATCCCTGGAGCTCTGGCACGCTCACCCTGCACACCTCCAGCTCCAGCTCGCACCTCATCGGCATTCTTTCGTCCTACCTTGGCTTACTGTATTGTGTAACCCTTAGCTTAGGCCCCAGACTCGCAGTACGGAGCACGGATAGCAGGAGGTGGTCGGGGGATTTTCTCTGCCTGACAGCGGCTCCTTCCACGTCCACAGGGAACGTCCCTCTTTGGAGTCCATGCTTTCCGGGCGGCACTAGGGGGCACTAGGGCGCTGAGCTGAGAAGATCCTACTGCAACTGTAACTGCACCTCATCTCACTTCTTTTCATTCGGATGGATGGTTTCAACCTCAACAACTACGCGGTTTTTGTTGGTCATGCTTTTCCAGCATCAGAACCGAGACATACTCATCCATGGTTGACTTGAGGCAACTAAACCTCCTGATGGACGGAGCTATCACGGCGAGATGTTTACCACCCCCCGGGCGATGAGGGCCATGAAGCCCGCGGCAAAACTTTTGAAGCATGTCCGGCAAGGCGAGCCAGACATCACGCCAGGCATCACGATCTCGCTCTTATTTCGCGTACTTCGCACTCCGTACACCCCGTAAACGCCGCCTGCCTCCGAGTGTCGAATCGCCTCGAAGAATTCGTTTTTGAGCCTCGTTGCCTGCGGATCTTTAGAAGAGAACGGACACGGATAGAGGTCCAGCCTTCCAAGATTACTGTACGATCCAGGTATGATTCGTCGCCCGCCTCACGCGCGTGCGGCGCGCCAAAAGGAGTCGGCATGCAAAAATCCTGGAAATTCACTTCAACGGCACGTCGTGGTCAGTCGAGTTTCGATGGGTGCACATGACCCGGCCGATCACCCTCGCTTCGCGTCGACCGCCGAATCGTCGTCGCTGCACGGAGTACATGCGTCTCGTCACTTTTGTATGGATACATATACCCATCGCTATTTTCAACGCTGCTTGGCCAATCTTGCCCGCCTTGTCCAATGTCAGCCGTCTTACGGATGCTACTATCCCGTATCCACTGGATTCCCAAACCGGCCACCGACAGGCAGGGACAGAGGACCTATCCAAGGACCAAGGCTATCTCTTCTGGAGGCTGTCTTCTGTTTTTTCTGCTCACTGAGTCGTCAATAATTTGAATCGCCGACCACTACTCGCACTACTCTTCGTCCAGTACCACGCTACGGGATATAGCTTGTCTCTCCTCGCACACCCCTTGGCCTTCACTTCTCTTCGACTCGGCGGCCGATGCTACGCGGCAGGCAACACGCCGCACACGCTGGTAGGATACAGGACGCAGGTAGGAAAAAAGCAAAAATACACCGCGTGCCACGCTGTACGCTCCGAGACAAGAGGGTTGGTTACACGAGAACGAAGCAAAGGTCCCCACCCTCTGTGAGTGTCTCTCTCCTGTGGTGTTCAGGCATCTCTCAGACTCTCACTCTTTGGCTATGAAGCTCTCCGAGCTCTCTCCATCTGGGGGTGTAATCCACCAACCAGGAGCTTACACAACTCGCACACCCCTCCCTTGTTGAGCTTTTCTGCCAACAAGCTCCAGCCTCCGCCGCCGTCTCATACAACTTCTTTCCAAGACATTCCTTTTCACTTATTTGCTTTTTTCTTCTCTTTGCAAAAGCTCTTCATTTTCCCCAGTCTTGGGACAGGTCTTGGTCGCATTCGGGACCGTGTCGGTGGCCACAGCACGTTATGGACAAAATTTCCCCGGAATAAATCTTACCAACCCAGTCAGACCGTTAGACCACGAGGTTGGTGATCACTGGTGCGTTCACATGGCGTGGGGCGGGGAGGGGACCAATAATCCTTTGGAGATCAAAATACCAGGGTCTTTCGTCAAAACATGCCCGCGGCCATAAGAAGTCGCAACTGCAGTATCTCACATGAGCGACTCAATCTATCCGTACATCTTACCACATCTCTAACCATCTACATATTTTCAGGGCGGTCAAACCGCCGCGGATTCAGATGGAGGGGCGTGGTGACGAGTCAATACCTTCAAACCCAAACTAGATCGAAACCCTCTTTTTTTCCTTTCTTACCGCGTACTTTCAGGCTTTCTCATTTCAATTTCACCATCACCGAGAGGGGGATTCCATAATGGCGCTTTAATGCCGTCCTAGCGCAGTTCACTAATCGGCAATCGAGGCGAGCTATCAGATTTCCAAAGAATACTGCGCAGTAGTACCAGCAAACGCATCCCTGTCAGTGTCGCGCTGCTGGCTAGGCACCTCCATTACACTCGTCTCACACACACTTCAACAAGTCTGAAGCCTCTTGGAATGCTATCCAGGGTTTTCCGGGAGTCAAATCGAAAGCGAGTCTAGCACCTCCTTTTACACTACTTTAGTAACGTAACTTTGGGTAACTCTGGATTCTGTTTCTTTGCTTTTTCTTCTTCTTCTCACCCCGGCCGCCGTACAGGTCGCATACTGGCGCTGGATTACCTATATCTGGCATGTTCTGCCCTTTCCCGCCCCCATTTCCAGATTTCTATGCGTTTGCTTTGTAGACTCTACATAATACTTGGCCGACACCCCCCTTCCAGGTCCCCCCCTCCTTTCGTCACTTCTCATTCCTGACAGAATCACTCAAATGAGATGGCTGCGCAGCACAGCGCAGCAGCAGCACATGCGCTGCGACCTTCTTTCATGTCCTTGCATCACCTCACCTCTCTCTGCTTGGCTCTGTCTGCCGCTGGCGCCGCCGCCCTGCTCGCTCGCTCTCTCAGTCTGGATCCAGCCCGTCCCGTCCCCCCAAAGTACCTTTGAGGTCGAGTGACCTTTGAGTGACAACGTCAGCCAGAACGACGAAAGAGCTTCCCTGCAGAGCCCAATCATCAGTTTAGTCTCCAACAACTCGAGGCTCTCACCACTTGAACCCGCAAAGCTACCCTTGCCATCAACCTCTCTGTCTTGCTCACACGCCCCCCCTTTCCCAGGTTGTATTCCCTATGCTTGTTCCCGTCACTTTCCCATCACATTTTTGCCGTTTCCCCATATCCCACGATGACCGCTGAAGGCCGGGAATCTCAAAATCGTCCAAAAGAATTGCAACGCAACCCACCCCAAATCCAATCTTAGCACCTCCAACTCCAAGTCTCCAAGTAAATGGTGATTGACCCAGGTGCAAGCCAAAAGATCACATTTCATAACCCCTCCCCCCCCCCTTAGCCCGGCACAAACTCCCAAACAGAGTATGGTCTTCCCGCTGCCTTACCGCCTCATCCCGTGCCCGCAGCCCTTCCTCCCCCGTGCCTTTGGTTCTGGTTCTGGGCCTCTCCCGTCGCCCTCGTCCTAGACTCCTAGCGCGCCGTGTGTGCGTTCAAAGACGACCATCACGGCCATCGCGACCACCACCCCTTTCCCACGCCCCGCGTCCCGCCTGCGTGTCAACCGCCCGCGCCGCCGCTGCCGGCCTCGCCTTGTCCAGCCTTCCTCCCCCGTCAGCCACATACCCTACATCCCGCATCGCCATGCCCGTCCATCCCGTCCGACCGTGCAGAAGAAAGGGCGCACCTTTTCTTCGGGTAAACCAAGTAAAGGCGCAAGACTCCCCTTCCCCGTCACTTACTACCAAGTGCTATTGTAAACAACCGCACTTATCATATCAACCTGGGATATGCTCTACTACCGCTACCGCACCCATGCCCCCGGGAGAAGGGGAGAAGAGGAGGGGGGGGGGGGGCACACGGCTCAAGAGAACTGATCCCATGGCACTGGGTCCCGGTCCGTCAGTCCCGCGGCGTCCGCCCCCCTACGGGTAGCAGGCACCGGGCCTACACTATACCTAGGTACGCAGTAAGCGTACCCTTGATTTCTTATTTCAGGTTTTGACGTTGTGTCGAAATGTTGATCTGGCATTCTGGAGCACCGGGACACGACAATGAAGACTACCTACGCCGCCGCCACGCAGCAGATGACAGGAAGGTGACGCCCAGCAGACCGCCACGACAACGTCCCCATCCCCCATCCCCCCATCCACCGGTTCCCTAGATCTGTTGGGGCGGCTTTGGAGTGTTCTAGGTCGTTGATCATGTAAAACTGCGGGAGAAGGGGGAATGTTACGCCAGCCAGGGCGATCACACCTCTCTCTGCCAGTGTCTCCCCTCAAACCAAGCCTAGGCCCATGCCTAGCACAGTAAATGGCGCTTTGTGAATTGCTTGAATATGCCTTGCCCTATTGCTTGCCTTTTATTTCAAGGTTGCTGAAGCAGTAGATTGTACCTTGGCACGCCGTGTGCGCATCTGCCTGCTCTGCCGCGCCTAGTTCATAATCACGTTTTTTTTTTTTCGTTTTCGCCTAGGCTAGGCAGGGACCGGCAGGCATTTTCTGTCTGGTATATGAATCTTTTTTATCATCGCCTTTGGAACCCAGGTTTCCCTTAAGATGAATACCTAGAAAAAGGGGTTAGATCGGGGAGCTTGTCAAAAATGTCAAAGTGCCAAACCGTCCGTCCGTTTGACAGGGAAAACCGAAAACCGCAGTGTACGAAAGAGAAGAGACCAAAAAAAAAAAGTGATTGGTGACTGATGCAATCCCGATTCCCAACCCGCCAAGTCCCGCTCCCAAAATCGATCACAAATTTTTCCCGAATTGTTCGCACACCGGTTTTACGGATACCTCAGTGTGCTAGGTTACAACTTACACCACGGGGGGGGGGGGGTCCATGGCGCAAAATGCAAGGGGGTTGTTCAGGACTTTGTAATGTTATAGGTGATAGAAGTTATGCCCCCGAATTCAGCTCAGGTACGGGAGGGAGTTTCCTTACTTGGACGGACGGCTTTCACAACTTGCGGTGGACAATGACAGGTAACATGAGTCTTAGTGAGGCAAGCTGGTGCGGTAAGGTAAAATAAGGTGAGGTCGGTAGTAGTAAGGTGAACTTGGTTGAATCTTTCTACTAATGCAGACGTCTCTTGCTGTACGTGCGTGTATACGTGCGTGTGTCTGCGCGTGTGTCTGCGCGTGTGTGTTGCGCGTGTGTGTTGCGCGCCTGCCTTTCGGACGTAAAATCTTCGGCCGCAATGCAAAGCGGCACGATGGACGGGATACACCAAAAAAAGAGAGAAAAAAAAAGCCATTTCATCAGCGACCAGAATACCCGAGACCGGGGAGGCGGGGTCCCTGGCCTGTTGTTGGTCCCAAACTTCCCCTACATGTACGGCTTGCTGTGTTCCCACATCTTTGGCCTGAAACAGGTGAGGCGAAAGCAAAAAAAAAATCTGACGTATCTGTATTTTGAGTTCAAAGTGTGCGGATATGTGATTGATTTAATTATTGTACGAATACATGTATTCTTCAATTAGCTGAGTGTGGTGCGACGGGACGTTACTTGTCACGTCAGTTTTTATACAAGGGTACTACTACTACTCCTTATGCGGAGTACCACGCCCGCGGATTGCGTGGGTGTCGGTGTGGGGTTTACGGTCATTCGGTTCCCCGGGGTTTGGATAGGCATGGACTGTGTCGATATATGAAGATGGTGTAGACCTTGCCATCGCTCAGTTCTCATGATTTTTGAAAGCGTGCGAACGGACGTGACGGACGGACATTGCAAAGAAACCGCCCCCCTCCCCCCCTTTCCCACCCTGGGATGTCGTTCCCTAGGGGTTTGGAGGTACTGGTGTAAAAGATGCTCCGTTTCCTCAAGCTACTTGGAAGCCACGAGTCAAACGCCCGTCAGATTTGATTATTTGATGATACCATGCCAGAGGATCGGGGTAATGAAGCGTGTATGATCTTCCGTCACCATATCAAGAGCAAGGGAAACCAGATCCAGGGCAATAGTTTTCATTGCAGTACTAATATACTAAGGAACAAGAACATAATTCAAAGAGAAAGAAGCACTTCCCACCACGCCTCTCTCTCAATCTCCTCGTTTGGTGTCTCCTCCGCTAAAAGAGGATCTCACCCTAGAAATAGAACAAGCCATCAACTCACAGAAAACTTCCCTTCCCGCTCTCAAGGACCTTCCCAGATGAAACCGCCACTTAGACAAACCCCGCCATAACAACCAGAACCGAAAAGGAGAACCAACATTTGGGTGAATCCAGTTCTCCGAGAATGAGGGGGGACAGAGCACAACAACGACACCGACGATGATAAAATAGAAAAGTCCCCATGGAAATAGGATATATAAGTAAAAGGTTGCAAATGCTATCCAAAAAACGTAGTACCAAAAAAGAAAAAAATACGCAACCGCAAACGCAATGCTTTGTTTGGAGGGAGGTTTGTTGTTTAAACAGCCAACCACAAGGAGAATGAGATGAAAACCAATAGAAAAGGACAAGAACAAATAACAACAAGAGGGCGCGAACCAAAGAACTCGGCTACGAGTCTCGTCTTTTATATGCAAAAAAATCCTTCCTCCACCCGCCTGCCCGTCCGGCCCCAGTCCTCCCCTCCTTTCCTTTACCCCTCCCTTTTGTCCACCGAACCAATTTCAAAAACGACCCTGCGGAGGTCCAGCGCCGTCTGATAACGACAGAGAGTGGTAGTTAAAAATAAATGCTCTTGTCCGAATCCCGCCTTCTCCTTTCCCCGTTGCCCCCTCTCTCTCCTGCCTGGCATATTCCCCCTTACCCCAAGCCTACCGCTCTCGAGTGGGCCCCCCGGATCCACCTCTTTCTTTCCTCCCTTGTCCGTTGGCTTCATCGTCCAGATCGAGCGTATGTATATATGTTGAGTCGCTGGCACGTCGGCCATGAATGAAGAAAGATTTCGGTCCAGTAGAGCACACTCTCGCCAATGCGTGTACAGAGGCAAAGCTAGATGTCGCAAAACCAGGGAGGATCCAGTCAAGATACTGTAAAAGGTGATAAGATTCGAGAGTTTTTTTTTTTTAGGTACTGTGTAATCGTATAGAGGTTCCTTTATAACAAAGATATTTTTCCGGTTTCCGGGGTTTTCCAAGGGGGGGAGGGGGTCCTAACGGGATCTCCAAGTAGGTACGAGAAATGAAGTTGAAAGATGAGTTTCGAATTCGCAAAACGCCGGTTCATGGATGTTTGTTGTTTGGGGTATGAAGAATTTCATGACCAAGAGGGGAGAGTGAAGCGTCTGTCCCGTCTCCTTTTTCCTCTGGCCCGCGCATACACATTGGCATTTCGTTCCGCCCAAGATTTTGATTCCTCCCAATTAATTTGTTGCCTTTTGTAAAAGCTTTCCATAATACCAAGATAATTCCATCCCGATCCCCGGTGTTTCTGTCGTCATTTGAATCGCTAGCGCGCAGGGGAGTCTTCTTCGTGTACTGTTTCTCCGCTTTGGTAGAGGTTGCTGCGTGTGGGGACGTTTCCCGTTCTTTACATCTGCATGGGGTGTCCAGGGTGTCCGGGGTGTCCAGGGTGCCCGTGGTAGACGTGTCCGTGATTCTGCGGGTGACCATGACCCGATCCATTGCTCAGCGAGCGGTGTCCCTGGTTTGGAGAGTTGTTCGCGCTGCGGTGGTTAGGTTCGATGAAGGATGCCATGGACATGGGGCCCGGGTGGTGGTGGTGGTGGTGGGCCGGCGGTGCGGACGAGGGCGGCGGAGGCGGGGGGATCGTCGGCCCAGTATGGCTGTTGGTGCTGCCGAAACTACTAGAGCCAACCCTCGGGTTCTCGGTGAAGAGCTCCTTCTCGATGTGTTGAAGAATATGCATATCAATCGTAAGCGAGCTAGATGACTGGGCATGCATATCGAGCATGCTAATGGTGCGTCGGAATAGCATCTTCAGTTCTTCAGCTGACACCAGATGGTGCAAGTACGGATCCTTAAAGGCTGCTGCCAAGATCAAGAGATTGCCCCATTGCCTGTGTTCGTTAGCATTGTCTCAAAACACCACGGAGAAAGTCACAACTTACGCATGGGCTGTGCCAAAGATGTTGGTGACGAGAAGGCGCTTGCTGTCGACACCGTGGAAGGCCCGAGTACTCTGAATGAGGGCCTTGATACCTCTTTCGGCATATGCCTTGACTTCCGGGTCGAGCTCATCGTGCCGACGGATCCCGTGAGAGCCCTGCCCCACGAACGCGGTCGCGTCATGTTGGGTGAAGACGCCAATGTGTCCCACCGTCTCCTTGTTGAGCATGCCTGAGCCATCAGAGCGTTGCTTCAACCTGT